GATCAATCCTTTTTGTATCTTCAATATGTTCCGTTCTCTCATGAAACACTGGGTTGTTGGCAATGTGTATAACAGCTTGGTTGTCACACCACAATTTAGCAGGCATTGGTGTCTTCAATCCAATCACTCAATAAATGGTTTCCAGATTATCTCACATGCCGATTGTGCCATAGCATGATATTCTGATTCGGCACTAGATCGAGAAACCACATTCTGCTTCTTACTTTTCCAGGAGACAAGATTACCACCAACAAAAACGCAATAGCCAGATGTAGATCTTCTATCATCTTTAGATCCAGCCCAATCAGCATCTGCAAAGCATTCTATTCTCATGTGATCATGATTTGGATAAACAATACCTCGTCTTGGTGTCCCCTTCAAGTAACATAATATATGTTCTACAACATTCCAGTGATCAACTGTGGGAGATGACATATACTGACTCACTACACTCACTGAGTATGCAATATCTGGACGGGTAACTGCGAGATAATTAAGTTTTCCAACCAATCTTCTATATCTCTCTGAATCTTCGAATGGCACACCTTCGTGAGTAAGTTGTACATTAGGAATCATATGAGTATTGCTCGGTTTTGCCCCTAGTTTCCCTGTTTCAGCTAGCAAGTCAAGTACATATTTGCGTTGAGATAGAAATATGCCTTTCTTGCTTCGTGTTACCTCAATACCCAAGAAGTGTTTCAATGAGCCTAGATCTTTCGTCTGAAATTGGCTATGAAGAAAATTCTTAAGAGCCAAAATACCTGCAGTATCACTCCCTGTAATCACAATATCATCAACATACACCACAAGCAATGTGATACCTGCTTTCGTTCGTCTATAAAAGAAAGAGTGGTCTGATTGACCTTTTATCATGCCAAATCGTTCAATTGATTGACTGAATTTTCCAAACCATGCACGGGGACTTTGTTTCAAACCATAAAGAGATTTGTGAAGTCGACAAACTTTCCCATACTCCCCCTGAGCAACAAATCCCGGAGGTTGCTCAATATAAACTTCTTCCTGAAGGTCACCATGCAAGAATGCATTTTTAATGTCCAATTGATGTAAGTGCCAATCATGAGTTGCAGCGAGAGAAATAAGTAACCTGACAGATGGAGAGAAGGATTTTCTGTGTATTTCATTAGTTGTGGAAGTCCCTATAAATATACATTACAAATAGAATATTCCTTTATAAGATTCTATACAATAATAATATCTATGGTATATTCCTAATATATTCTATAGCATATTCTAAAGTATATTCTAATATACTTTCACAGGACCCATGACCATCTGCCAAATTTCAACAGCAGCCCAATCGCACTAATTATCCGGGCCGTAATTTTAATCGAAAACAGTCGAGGAACCAGCGACCCAATACTCATTACAGTCCCAACCAACGTGGAAATAATAATTTTGGGGGTCCTAGCAACCAGGCAGCCCGAAACACCCCGGGGAACGGTAATTTCGGGCCCAATGTTACATGTCAAATTTGTGGGAAACCGAACCATTCTGCTCTCAATTGCTGGCATCGGTTTGAACAACAAGCTTATCCTCCCCAAGTTAATACGGCTGTCACTCGTCACAATGGCTGGCTAATTGATTCTGGAGCGACCAATCACGTCACTAATAACCTGAATAATCTTACCTTGGCATCCGATTATACTAGCACTGATTCTCTTGTTATTGGTAACAGTAAAGGTCTTGCGATAGCACAAGTCGAGCATATGACCCTTCACTCTCTTTCCCTACCTAATAATCTTTTTGTCCCTTCTATTCATACCAATTTAATTTCTGTCGCTAAATTATGTCATGATAATGACGTACTAATTGAGTTTCATTCTTCCTTTTGTCTTATTAAGGACCGGCAAATGGGAGCAATTTTGTTACGGGGTATGAATAGAGGAGACGTCTACAGCTTGCCAGATGTGCCCCCTCCACCATCTCCATCTGTTCACGTCACACAAAAAAATTCCCTTAATAATTGGCACTGTCGCTTAGGACAACCTGCCCTCCCTATCACAAAAAACATTCTCTTGTCCTTAGGTATTTCTTTTTCTGATGTTACTACAAATAATTCTTTATGTGGCTCGTGTGCTAGTAATAAAAGCCATAAGCTTCCATTTGCAAACTCATCTCTTACGAGCTCTGGACCTTTAGATTTAACATATACAGATGTTTGGGGTCCTGCTCGTGTTACTTCTATTGATGGCTTTCGTTACTATGTTATTTTTGTGGATCATTATACCAAATATATTTGGTTTTACCCTATGGCTCAAAAATGTGAGGTCACTCCACTCTTTCAACAGTTTAAGAAGATTGTTGAAAACATTTTTCAACGCACAATTAAAACAGTTTATTCTGATGGGGGCGGCGAATACATAACCTTAGGAAAATTCCTAAGCACATGTGGCATTTCTCATTTATTTACCCCCCCTACACTCCAGAACACAATGACTTTGCTGAACGTCAGCATCGTCACATTGTGAAAACTGGTATCTCCCTACTTCACCATGCGTCCATTCCTCTTAAATATTGGTCCTATGCCTTTCTTACAGCTGTTATCTTATCAATAGACAACCTGCTCTCTCTCTTAACTTCTGCACTCCATATGAAAAACTCTTCCAACAACCTCCTAATTATACTAAAACTTGCTGTTTTTGGGTGCCAGTGTTTCCCTTGGTTACGTCCTTATACCTTTCATAAATTGGAACCACGCTTTAAATCGTGCATTTTCTTAGGGTATTGTGACCAACAAAGTGTCTATCGCTGTCTTGATCTCACCAGTAACCGGATCTTCGTCAGCAGACATGTTTTGTTTGACGAGACAGTCTTCCCCTTTTCTACATCCCCACCACCACTCTCAAATCTCACTTCTTAAGTTGATCATTGGCTTCAACCTTCCATGTCTTATCTTCCCATTCAGGTACTCTGGTCACAGGGGCGTCTTCTCCTACTCATACCTCGACTCAACCATTAACTCCCAGTAAGTCACTTACTACCTCCACCCAAAGTGATATCCAAACTTCTCCCCTTCTTAAAGCCACGCCGCCACAAATCATTACTTACCACCCCGACCCAAACCCAATCCTCCTATACCCACCCCTCATCCACCCACCACCACTGAGCGCACTACCTCAACCCCACACCTCAATAACTCCCCACCCAAACGTACCCATCCAATGACCCCTCGACCTTGTAAACAAGCCAATATTGCTACTAATACCTCTCTACCTCACCATATAATTCTCACTTGTGCTTCTCAAGCTATGCAGGTACCAGAATGGCAGTGCTATGTCAGTAGAATTTGATGCCTTGGTTCGACAGGGTACTTGGGATCTTGTTCCACCCCAGCCTGGCCAGAATATTGTAGGTTGTAAATGGGTCTATACAGTGAAACATAAGCCGGATGGTTCATTGGATCGTTATAAGGCTCGGTTATTAGCTAAGGGCTTTCATCAGCGCCCTGGGATTGATTATTCTAATACTTTTACTCTGGTCATAAAACCGGTCACTATTCGCATCGTCTTGACTATTGCTCTCTCTCATGGTTGGCCGGTACACCAGTTAGATGTCAACAAAGCCTTCCTCCATGGTTTTAATGATGGTTCTGGATTTGTGCGTCGTCTTCGGAAATCCATTCATGGTCTTAAACAAGCGCCTCGGGTATGGTATCAGGCTCTTAGCGGATTCCTTCTCTCACTTGGATTTCATCAGTCTGTCGCTGATGCTAGTCTACTCATATTTTCCTTCCATCCATCTTATATCTATGTGTTGGTCTATGTGGATGACATCATTGTTACTGGTTCTACACCGGATTTGATACGTCAGACTATTGACTCATTGGCCCACCAGTTCTCTATCAAGGATTTAGGAGCCTTACATTACTTCTTGGGCATGCAGGTTACTCCTACACATGGTGGACTCTTTCTTGATCGACATAAATACATTATGGACTTATTAAAAGTTTTAAAAATGGATGGGGCTAATCCTGTGGCCACACCGTTAGCTTCTTCTGCCTCCTTAACTCTGTTTGACAGTTCACGCTCTTGTGATGCCACTCTTTATCGATAGGTCCTCGGGTCTCTTCATTATTTGAATCTCACTCGCCCAGATGCTGCCTTTGCTATTAACAAATTGACTCAATTTATGCATAAACCTACGGTTAATCACTGGCAACTTCTCAAACGTCTTTTGCGCTATTTGTAAGGCACTGCCTCTCATGGCCTCTATCTTTGTCGCAGCACCTCCCCAGTCTCCGTGCCTTTGCTGATGCTGATTGGGCGGGGAATCCTGATGACCGTTCATCTACTAGTGCCTATGCCATCTTTCTCGGGGAGTCTCTTATATCTTGGAGATTAGTGAAGCAACGCACTATCGCTAAGTCCTCCACGGAAGCAGAATATCGAGCTCTTTCCGCCACTGCCTCTGAAATTATTTGGATCGAATCTTTATTACGTGACTTGCGACACCCGCTTCTTTCTCCTCCACTCCTCCTGTGTGACAACAAAGGTGCTACTACATCTTCAGTCAATCCTGTCTTCCACTCCCGCATGAAACATGTAGCTATTGATTTTCATTTTGTTCGGCAGCGGGTTCAACGTGGCCTTCTTGAAGTGCATCATATCCCATCTTATGCTCAGATAGCTGACACCCTCACCAAACCACTTCCCTGGCAACGCTTTATCCTTCTTCGAGACAAGCTCAGGATTCTTGGAAGTGACAGAATACCTGGCTTGCGGGGGCGTATAGAAGGAAATAAATAATTGACATTTAAGGCATAATATTTCATTTAGCCGTTACATATCTTTATCTTTAATGTTGTATTATTACCTACCTTATAGACTTGATTAGTGATTGTATAAATAGCACCTATTGTAAACCCTTTTGATTATCATTTAATATACAAAAATCTTTCGCTCCTCTCTTCTCTATTAGTAGGCTAGTAGGTATTTATTCTTTTCAAGTCTCTTTAGCTCATCATTATTCTTCATGACTAGGAATTCTATCATTCCCAAATACAATCAAGAAATGTGCAACTTCCAAGAGTTTTTGGGATGACTGCTTCCCCTATAAAGGGTAAAGGTTAGTGTTACACAACCTGATAAGTGTTTTTTCATTAGTTACAGCTAATGAATTTTCTAATCACATGCTTTGTTCGAATAGGTTCAAGTACAGGAGATAGTTACTGGAAGGACATCCGTGGCCTGGAAAATCTAATGAATTCAAAGGTTCAATTGCTTCGTCTCGTTTTAGGAAAATATTTTCACTGTGATCATGAGATATTTCTACATATTTTCCCCGCATTCCGATGCCTTTCATCATATAATGTTTATCTAGCTCTAAGTGGTCATGCACTTATAACCTGCTCCTATTAAATGAAGGTCTATACATGTGCCAGTGAATCAGTTTTAGCTGCGCACATTCCATTTCCTACTTCAAAGGTGGTACATTACAATGATGATGAGATTCCTCATGTGATGTTCCAAAGCTTACGAAATGACTTGCATAGATTGAAAGATGAGGTATGTATCAAGTGTTGAGCCTCAAAGAGTAATTATTATATTGTACAATTTGATGCTCTTGCATTTCCTTAATTGCACCAAAATGTGCTTTCTATTCCATAATTTTTAGTTTTCCTTTCCAGTACATTGTTTAACCATTTTGAAATATCATTTTTCCTTTTTTTGTTTGAGCAGTATATTAGTAAGCGTAATCTATCAGAACATATCGCTGAGACTGCAAGTAAAAGAATATCAAGACATTTGTCAACTTTCTTATATTGTTTGACTGAGTTTGGTGTTTTCTTGGCGCTTAAGGTAAAATGTTCCCTGGCTGCTGTCAATTGCATTTCACATAACTGTCTACAACCTTGACGATACATTTTGCTCAATGAATGTGTGTGTTTGGTTATAGGCAGCTGAGTCCTTGTCCTGTAAAGACAAAGAAATCTTTAATTGGGACAAACTGGATTTGCATGCAGAAACTATCGTCAGAGGTTTTAGTTTAGATGCAGCTAAGATCTTCTCAGCTCGGATACCTTCTGGTAATAATGTTACGAAATAAAGTTCCTTCTTTTTATATGCTGATGTTTGAATCTTTATAATTTTTGTATCTACCCCATTTTCTTTGAATGTAGGAGGAGCAGAGATGTATCTCAGTAATGATCTTCAAGATGATAAAGATGCTAGATATCTGACTTCTAAAGTTGTGACTCTAGTAAATACTCTTCTTGAATACAGGTACATGTTAAATTGGGCCTTAGAATCTTCGAAGGGCTTCATTATAGTGTAAACTCTTTCTTGACCCCAATCATCCTGAGCAATACTGGATTTGAGTCTTGGTATATATGTTTGAGGTCATGATCTGATCGGTGATAACTAAATCTCAATGTCAGGCACTCAGTTACCCAACACATCCCCTTAACCCAAGCTGAGCTCGACAAATAGGGCTGACCCCCCAGATTGGTTGCCACAAATTATCGAATGGGAAACCGCAAATCACCATTCAGATCATGACCTTGTATGTTATTAACTTGGGTCTAACTCATCATAAAATGGATCCTTAAGATGTGAAGTTTACCTCAAACATATATACCAAGACTCATATCCAGTATTGCTAAGGATGATTGGGGTCTAGAAAGCGTTTAAACTATGATGAAGCCCTTTGAAGATTCTAAGGCACACTCTATAAGAGTAAATGATAGTAAGACAAATAAATGGACATTATAGGGAACTATTCCTATGATTGTTGGGAACAATCACGTCGAATTTTTCACCGTCCAATGAATATAACCACATAGGAATGTCTCCCTATTATAATGTCTCCCTCACATTTACTCATTCCATAATGTTTGTTTGGACAGGAACTTGAAGGATTTGAGATGCATAGTTTTTGTTGAGAGGGTTATTACAGCGATTGTCCTTCATTCTCTATTGAGTGAGCTACTTCCTAACCGAACTGGATGGCAGACAAGATACACAGCAGGAAATGCATCTGTATTGCAAGCTCAAAATAGGACGGTTCAGAATGCAATTGTTGAAGAATTCCGGAAGGGAATGGTAGGCAATAGTATTTCATATATTTCGTACACATTTGTTTTAGTTGAATATTTCCGGGATCTTTTAGTTCCCAAACTTGTCTTGCAGATCAACATTATCGTTGCAACATCTATTCTTGAAGAAGGCCTGGATGTTCAAAGCTGCAATCTCGTTATCCGATTTGACCCCCCTGTAACAGTTTGTAGCTTTATCCAATCACGTGGTCGTGCTCGAATGCTCAACTCAACTTTTATATCATTTGTTAGAAGGTAGGTGGGTTTGTTTCATACAACTACTCTCTGCTTCTGAAGTATTGTATCATAATACATTGATCTTTGTATTTTTCTCTTGTTCCAGACTGGCTTATTTATCTGCAATCCATTTAGTGACATAAGGTTTTATTAACTCGGAAAGTTTCAGCATCATAGGACATGGCCAACAGAAAAAGAAACCTTTACTTCTACAATTGTTTATTGTGTGATTCTTCCATATAATTTTTTTTGTGCTACATTTTCAGTGGGGACATCTCTACCCTTGTTCGAGTAAGAAAATACCTTGCAAGTGTAGATATAATGAGGAAGGAATCCTTATGTCATGCTTCTCAGCCATGTTCACCACTTCATAGTGAACTGATTGACGAATATTCATACAAAGTAGAAGCTACGGGAGCAATTGTTAACTTGAGATCAAGTGTGTCCTTGCTTCACCTCTATTGTGCAAGGCTACCTTCTGATCAGTCTGTCCTTCACCTTTAGTTGTGAACTTGGAAGTGTATACTCAGTGCACATGTGTTAAGTAATTGCATAATTATTTGTTGTCACTAACTAATTTTCATATGTAGGTACTTCAAACCGGCTCCAAGGTATGATATTGACAAAGATACAAACACGTGCATCCTCTATCTCCCCAAAAGCTGCCAAATACAGAAAGTTGAGGTTCAGGGAGATGTCAAAATCCTGAAGCAGCTGGCATGTCTAGAAGCTTGCAAACAGCTTCATCAAGTTGGTGCCTTGACAGATAATCTTGTTCCTGATATAATGGAGGAAAAAGATCACATCCAAGACACAGGCAATTTTCTCTATAATTTTATCTTTGCATCTTATTCTCAACAAATTTCCGTTTGTTTGAATAAACATTGACTCTTCACTTGCATATATTTGCACAGTTGTGTATTACAACGATGAGCAACCAAGGTATCATCCACCTGAGTTGATTGGCTGTCATGGCAATGATTCTGAAACAGTATTCTATTGCTACTTAATTGAGCTATCTCAGTTCTCTTATAAGGATACTCAGCTTCAAAATATTATCCTTGCTGTGAAGATGAAGCTTGAGTTTGGTGATGAGAAGTTGACTTTTGAACTGAATGTTGGTGGGGATATCAGGGAGGTCAGGGAAGGCCAACTTTTGTATGTTGGGATGTTTAAGCTAACTCCCGAAAAGGTTTGTATATTGTTACTTGTCTACAATTGTCACTTAATAATACAATAAAAGATATGATGAGTTAATTTATGTACGTCACTAATCTTATTTTTCAGATAAAGAGCTGCCGTATGTTTCAATTAGTTCTACTTAGTTCCCTTCTCCGAAAAGATATGAATAAACTGGCTGGAGCTTTGGACAGATTTTGTAATACAGTTGGCTTTGCAAGCTTTGATTATCTTCTTCTGCCTTCCTCGGGCTCCAGTAGCAAACCTATGGTTGATTGGAGTGTAGTTCATTCTGTCACATTTCCTTCTGAAAAACCCAAGGACAAACATATTAATGGCTGCTCTATGCATGGTTGTAGTCCTATGCATACAAAGTCTGGTTTGGTATATAGGTGTCAATTGAAGAATTCTCTCATACACACTCCACATAATGGCTCTTTGTACTACATTACTGGTATTTTGCACCATTTGAATGGAGATTCAACTTTGAAGTTGAGAAAAAGAAAACACGTAAGTTACAAAGACTACTTTAAAGACAGGTATGCTTCTTACATTGCCTTTAAATATGCCACGGTTCATCATCATCACCCCAGTGCCACAAAGGCTCCCACCTATGGTAGGGTAAGGGAGGGTCGGATGTACGCAGTCTTATCCCTGTACTAAAGCACAAAGAGACTGTTTCTGGATGACCCATAGTGAAAATCGCGTCCAAAATTGCATGGACTGGCTGCTACTTCATAACAAAGAAGCACAAACAGTTTAGTGAGCCATTTTGCTTTATTCCATCATATTCTCAAGCCAAAAAATAGTGAATCTTTGGCTCCATTACAAATGATGGAAATAAATATGCCACGGTTGAATTTATAAATTTTACTTAGAATACATTATGCAAATCACTGTTGATTACAGGCATGGCATTGACTTGCTCTATGCGGAAGAAGCACTTCTTCATGGGATGTTTATGCCTACGGTTCAAAACTATTTAAAAAAACATTGGGCTAAAAAGAGAAAAGGTTGTCATTTTGATTTTGTTGTGCTTATTTATTACTACTGTCATTATTTTCCTATTGTTGTTATTACTGTATAACACTAGGTTTGTTCGATGAGTTTTTAATCAAATAAATTATACACTGCACATTCAGTAATGTGAAGATATCATATTATCTGATATTTACATATTAGTATCAGATAATCTGTTGTTTATTTGAGAAAATTATACGAAGTACATAATAAAGTAATTGTGTTTTTTGCAACACAGTTGTTTAGGATCTAACTATATTACTAGGTTTTAAATTTTCAAGTCACGGGAGAAAGCGACAGCCCTAGTGGCTTTTCATAGGTCTGCATAACTGCACATCTTTGAAAAGCCACAAGTACTTGTAGCTTTATTTTTCATTTTTATAAATCATGCAGTCAATTGTGTCCATTCAACTTCTATAGGTGAATTGACCTGATTATAATATTATATCTATTCATGATGTTGCTCACAAGTGCAACTAAACTTACTTAAGTCACTCCTTATATTTTTTGTAGAACCACATAATTTAACTGTAGAAGTGCCTCCAGAATTTTGTTCAGTAATAATGTCCCCGCTTCCCTATGATATATTATGTTCTTTCTCCTATGTCCCATCAATTATGCATCGGATAGAGTCGTTGCTACTTGCTCTGAATTTGAAAAAAATGCATATGGATCACTGCCCGCAAGATGTTATGGTACCAACGTGTAAGGTATGAGATCCTGTTATCACATTGTTCTTGCTTTTCTTTTCAAATGTTTGTACCGTTTTTATTAGGGAAAACATATGAAGGTCAGCTCGTTAGTTGGTTTTTTGAAAGTTTTGGATTGGAGGATTTGGATAAGTTTAAATCTTAGTACTGTATATATTTGAGATTTTATAAAAATTGAAAAAACAACATAGTTCTGGATAAAACAATAGTTCAATCATCCTTTATTCGTTCATAGACACATTCCATTTATCAAGATATGGACAAAACCTTCTGAATCCCCCTCCATCCAAACAAACCCTACATGATAGGTACTATGTGATTCTCTCTAGTAATAATACGAAACAATGTTTATATCACACTACTGATGTAAAAAGAGCAGCCAAAGTAGCACCAAAGTGAAGTGGGGGTGAAGTTTTTGTTTGAGAAAAGGTTCACAGGTTTTTCTTAATTCTACAGTTGATTGGTTTTCCGACTGGTGATTCTCATGCACACTTATATTTGTTATTCCCTTAAATGGTTGTACACGAGTCTGGAGGCTAACTGTAGTTTTTTTAGAGTCAAAACTCTTAGCGTTTCAAATGACTTCATATCGTATCTCATGTAATGACATGTCATTTTGCTCTATGTATGTTAGATCATGGAAGCTACAACTTCCAAGAAATGCGAAGAAAATTTTCACTTGGAGTCTTTAGAGACATTGGGAGACTCATTTCTTAAATATGCTGCGAGTCAACAATTATTCGCAACCTGTCAATATGCCCATGAGGGGCTTCTTAGTTTGAAAAAAGAAAAATTGGTTTCAAATGCTGTGTTGTGCAAGCTGGCATGCACCAAAAATATTCCTGTAAGACTTTTCACTTGATCATTTTTGGTTTAATTCTTCAAAATATCAGGTATTAATACATCAAAGCAATTATTCGTCGAACTTTGCAGGGATTTATTCGCACCGAACAGTTTGATCCGAAAACATGGGTCATTCCAGGAGATTATTCTACAGACAAGAGCTATGAGTTGGAGTTGGTATCTCCTGCAAGGAAAATGTACAACTTTGGACATAGAACCATGAAGAGTAAGAGAGTGGCAGATGCGGTCGAGGCACTTATAGGTGCATATCTTAGCACAGTTGGAGAAGCTGCTGCTTTGTCATTCATGTTATGGCTTGGTTTAGACATCCAGTATGTGAGGAATCCAGTACCAAGACACTTCCCTATAAATGCCCAAAAGTTCGTGAACGTGGAATATCTAGAAAACTTGCTTAAGTATAAATTCTGTGATCCTTCTCTCCTTGTTGAGGCGCTGACTCATGGCTCTTTCATGCAATCTGAAATTCCACGATGCTATCAGGTTATGGCATCCTATGCTGTTCCTGTCCTCACATTGAATTATTAATTTTGCTAATGTCTTGCTATAAGGTTTTCCTATTGTGTTACTATTATGCAGCGTCTGGAGTTTATAGGAGATGCAGTGCTGGATTATGTGATCACAGTCCACCTATATAATAAACATCCTGGACTGACTCCTGGATTATTAACTGACCTGAGGTCTTGTTCAGTCAACAATGACTGCTATGCTCTATGCGCTGTTAAGGCTGGACTACAAAAGCAAGTTCTCTATTTTTCCACCATGCTTCAGAAGCATATTACAAACGCTGTTGAGTGTGTTGAAAAGTTGTGCATTTCCTCGACTTTCGGATGGGAAGTAGATATAATCTTTCCAAAGGTATGTTAAAGTTGATAATAGTAATATGCAAATATGCATGAAGTTTAGATACTCCAATTAAGGGTTTGTTTGTAACACAGAAAATGTTGGGAGAAAAAGGAGGAAAGTAGAGAGAAAAGAACTCTAAATTCTATTTGTCAAGTTTAGATACTCCAATTAATTCAAACTCAATAGCAACAACATCCAGGTCTTACCGTCTTAGAAGTTGTTCACTTCGCATGATATGAATGTTTCTTATCTGATTTTTTAAGTTCTGATATGATTTGATATGAATTTTTTTAATCTGATCTGAACCTTTCTGATCTGATCTGGATCTTTCTGATTTGATCTGAATTTTTTTATCTGAACTGATTGGATCTGAATTTTTTTGATCTTAGTCCCCAAAGAGTTTGAAATTTGAGATGAATCAACATATGAAATCGGATTAAAAAAGATAAAAAGAGATCAATCCTCGACATGGATACTCTCCCTCCACTTCACTCTCTAGCGATATTCATTTTCAATTTATGTCATGCGATGTGACTAAGTTATTATGTTGTCGTCACGCGCCTACCACATCACCCTCTTCCTTTATACTCACTTGGGATACACTTGATACCAAAAATGGGTCTCACGGCGGTTATATTAGTTCAAACTCGTTTGGTTAAAGATTTAAATCATATGAAGTCCTAGGTATGTGAATACATGCCAAAGTAAAACTGATCAAATTGGGTTTCTTGTCATATCTACCAAGGTCAACCAAACATCAAAGACACATTTTCTTTTGTATTTTCCTTTGTTTACCAACTATTCCCTGGGTTCCAAGCACAGCCTTATTCATTTGTGTTCATTATTGAATTAAATAGTAATACGGTATATCTTGACTTCCCTTAACACCTGAAGTGAAAAGTAGATATTACTTCATCAAAAAAAGATTCACGAAGCTGGAGAGCTGTTAGGCAGGGATAGAATCATTGAGCTTACGCTTTTGTATTATTGAGGATTAAGCACACATAGATGTATTTTCAGATTCAAACATGTGCTAAAAATATTATGTCCTTTATCTTTTATATATATCTTCTTGTGGTGGCTGCTGACTAGTTCCTTTGTTTTGTGGGTGTTCATCTTGTGTAGGTACTAGGAGATATTATTGAGTCGCTTGCAGGGGCAATCCTTGTTGACTCTGGTTTCAACAAGGATAAAGTTTATGAATGCATAGTTCCTCTTTTGGAGCCTCTAGTTACTCCAGAAACCATTACTTTCCATCCGGTGAGAGAGTTATATGACTTGTGTAGAAGTAGAAATTATACAATCAAGAAACCTTTCATCACTCTTGAAGATGGAGTTGCATCCATTACGATCGAGGTAGATGCAAATGGTGTTATTTACAAGGAGTCGTGCACAGCCCGTAATAAAGTTGAAGCAAAGAAATTGTGTTGCAGAAACATTTTAAAGAAGCTGAAAGCCTAAAAGTGAATGCAACATGCCTTTGGAAGGGTAGGGGCGGGGGATAGTGAATATGCACAATAAACATCTTATTAGATTTCAAATTACAACATAATATGTTGATTATTTGAGATTGGCCTTGTATCATGCACTGATACATGTTAAATTGTATGCCAACCAATCAGTTTACAAAAACATCTTAAACTTTGGGATTTTTTCTCTATATTTTGGTTTTTCTTCTTAGAGATGAAAAACTCAACAGAGAAGCTTTTGTATTAGAAGTTTGACAAGGTGTTATAATTGATTGGTGGGTACATCATATGATATTGAATGTCATGTAGATACGGTCTATCATTTTTTGGAATATCAAGAAGAGATAATTCTGTTGATATGAGTAAATCATTAATGGAATGTACTAATAGGAGCCTAATGTTTAAGAGGAGCCTAATGTTTAAGAGGAGTGAAAATGATATGAGTTGACCAAATTGCTCTTCAAAAATTAGAAGCTCAAACTCCCTGGACATCATCACCCGCACACATATTAAGCTCACCACCATGGAGCAACTGTTGCAGGCCATCTCCTCCGCCGTTGTTTGCCTTCGGTTCCGCCCCCTCTCCACACTCGGGGTTCAGGCAACATTGCAGTCTGCAGCCCTCGATCTCCCCCCCCCCCCCCCCCCATATGAGTAGGGACTAGGGATGGATCGGGTCGGTTTGGACTGGCCCGGGACCTGGATCGAACCGCCACTGTGCGGTACCGGCCTGGGCCTGCCAACCGCGATCAGGCCTTGGGCCTGAACCGGGGGATTTTGGGGCGGGTCACAGGCTCAACCCCTCTTGGAACCGGCTCGGCCGATCCGGGCCCAAAATGTTTTTTATTTATTTAATTTTTTCGAATGGAGGCTTGGAGGGGGTAGAAATAAATAAGAAAAAAATTATAAAAAATATAAGGCCTGACCTGACCCTACTTGGTCCTGGAACCTACCTGGGCCGGTACCGGGCCTTCAGCCCAAATAATTAGTACCCGGGCCCGGTCCATCACTACATATGAGGCTGCTGCCGCCACCTGCAACACCTAGCCCCTCAGTCGATCCCCTTCGATGATGAGGCCCCCACCACCATGCCATTGCATTCAGAGACCACCCCTCTTCCAATCTTGGCATGGATTCCTTGAGGCCGCCGATCACTGTTGCTATCGCTGCCGCCACCACCGGATTGCCCCATCAGACTTACCTGACTATCCAAGGGAAATTGTAGGGCAATTGTTTATATTAATCAATTATATTATGAATACTAGAGGTAGAAAAGTAATGTTTAATCCTATTTAGGGGAGATTAGAGATGCACTTCTTATATAGGTAAAATGAGTATGTTATACTCATCTTAAAAGTAATGCTGTAAAACGCATTAGGCACTAGTCGGGCGCCAACCCAACACCTAGTGGCTAGGCGGAGACTAGTCGGAGACATAAAACATATATTTTTACCCATGATTTTACATAAATATGATTAGTAATGTTATGTTTGTGTGTATAAAAGATGTACACATACACATACAAATTAACATGCATGAATGATAGGGTGGTCACATTTAATAATATATTATACCTACTCATTTAACTTCATTGTGTAGTTTTTTTACTTCATTATGTAGTACAACAACAAACAACAACATGCAAGCCTTAATCCCAAAAGATTTTGGGACCAACTAACATGAACCGATCCATGATATCGATGCAAAAAGAGAATACGGACAAGAAGAAGAGAAAAAAGAATGTGGGATGTGTGAACATACCATAAATGTTTGAAGAATGTAGCACCTATGAATGACATTGTTTCACTGTCCAACACTCTACGTCATACATTTATGCAAGCCTAATTGTTGTACGATAAATTTTACCTTCAGTCTAGTCGGCACATGTCAATCGCATAGAAATCCTGATGCACTCTTCCTCTTCATCCACTCAGTTCTAATTCAATGGGATACATATTCGTCTAATTCATCATCCTTCTTAATTATGGAGCCGAACTATCGAAACATATCACACACCGGTATCTCCTTACCATCATGAGTAATCCCAGTGTTGTTACTACTTCTACCTCCACCAAACTTGCACCCCATATACTCAGTCTTGCTTCCGTTCAGTCTGAAACCCATGGTCTCCAATGTTTGCCCCCATATTTCCAACTTGCTTTAACACCCGATTGTATCCATCAATCAATACAATATCGTCGGCAAACATCATTCACCACGGTATATCTTATTGAATTGATTTCATAAGTTCATCCAGGACTAGAGCAAATAAGAAAGGACTCAAAGCCGATCCTTGGTGCACTCTGATAGTAATAGGGAACTTTGCGGTCCTTCCTACACTAGTACAAACACTTGTAGTACCAGCCTCATACATATCCATGATGATACTGCTATAGTTACGTGGTATGCCTTTTCCAGTTAAGGTCCACCAAAGGACTTCCTGAGGTACCCTATCATATTCATTTTCTAAGTCAATGACCACCAAATGCATATCCTTTTTAGTGTCTCTATACTTCTCCACATTTTGTCTAAGAAGGTGAATGACCTTAGTTATTGAACGTCCAGGCATAAAACCAAAGTGATTCTCCAAAGTTTTCACACTTTTTCGAAGTCTTTGCTCAACCACTCCTAGTTAGTTAAATACGGTACGGGTATTAAACGAGGTTTAATACGTACGCGTTTTATTTGGTAACATTAATGAAAAAAACGGCCAAAAATTCGTTCAAAAAACGTCGACTTTTAAAAAACGTGTAAATACGTATACGTGCATATTACGGTATCTGTTACAAAAATTCGGACAAAAAATACGGGTACTATTCTGAACAGTTAAAATTATATACTTCACAAAATAACATACTTCGTATATATTAAAAAAATAAATGTATACACATATTCAAGTAACAAATCTCATTACTACATAAAAGAACAATTCGTAATTGCATAGAACGATGACAAAAACAAAAATAGTAATTAAGTCCAAGAGATGATTTTGTAAACTAATGTCAACAAATAAGACATAAAAAATAGTTTGAGACTAAGTTAACATGATTATCTTTATATGATCATCAAATAACACTCAATTTAAATTAACCATTTTCATCAAGATGACAGATGACATATGCGACTGCTACGTGCACTTCTTATTGTTTATGTGTAAAAGTTTATACTAAAAAATGTCATGTTTAGAAAATTTTTTAATTTTGACATGCTTGTTTGGAAAAGAATCAGAAATCTAGTACTTTGTAGCATTTTAAGTTTTAGTCTTTAAGAATGTTAGCTTTAACCGCCATGCAATTAATTTTAGTATTTAATAATTGTATTTTAGCAATACAAAAACATGAGATCACACGGAGGAGCTTTAATTTTTTTTCCTTTTAATTCATTGTTGATCCCCTATATTTTCATTTAATGAGTTCATTCAATTCATCAATTCATGTTTTTTATTTTTTGTAAATTATGGATGCAAGTTTAAGCCGCCATGCAATTATTTTTAGTATTTAATAATTGTATTGTAACAATACAAAAACATGAGGTCACAGAGATGAGCTTTTCTTCTTTGGGTTCATACTTTACACTATTGTTGATCTCATATGCATTTAATGCGTTCATTCAATTGATCAATTCATGTTTCTATTTTTAGTAAAATACGGGAAAAATACGGATGGATAAGTGTACCCGGGGGGTATCTATCTGAGGGGTTACTGCGGGAATAACTTAGAGAGAAGACAGAGTAAAAGTAGAGAGAGTGTATATTGATATATTGCTTAAAGCGTATTGAGCGTGGTTTACAAATGGGGAAAGGGGTGCTATTTATAGCAGCAATAAATGCTAGATAAGGACACATGTCATCATTCTGGTGGTCGAGGGGTCACCTCAACGGGGTGGCACTAGCACTCGCATGTGGCCGCATTAAATGCGGTGGTTGGATGTGACGTTTGTACTTGGTACGTTGATCCAGCGCATGTGGGTGGGAGATTCTGTCGAGGAGATGCCTTCGGATGTAGATGATTAGCCGAAGGCTCTTCATCCCGGGGCCTCTAGGTGCTGAGGGCTACTGTTTTCGCCGTTTTCTCCCAGTAACTTCGAGTGCTTAAAAGCAGCTGTACCGTAAGTTTATGAGCCTTCAGCCATGGGGGCCGAAGGTACCAAAGTGTATGTCGTGGGCTGCTTGGCACTTGGGGCGCTTTGATTTGGGCCTGCTGTGCTTCCTGGGCCTTTATAGTAGTGGGAGTCTATGGGCCGGAGGTCCCTGGGCCATATACTCCATCAGGAGTCCCTCACTCCTTTTGCCGAAAGGTACTTGAGGGAAAAGGAGTAAATGCGTTTGTCCTCTGATGCTGGCGTTTTGCCTTGTAGTTTGTGGAGTTGTGAGGAGTTCTTCGTCTGCCTTGTTTGCCGAGGGCAGTCCCTCAGTCCCCCACATCTTGGGGCCGAAGGAAAATTTTTACATTCGTAATTTTGTGAATTTCCCGAAGGTGACCTCCAGTCCCCCACTCTTTGAGGCACATGTAATGTGGTGAAGAGGAGTAGAGGGGTGCCTGCGTTCATCGCGAGGCCGAAGGCTTGTGCTTTTTCGTTTCATTTTGGGGGGATGCCTCGTTAAAAACCTCATCAGGAAAAACCCTTTTTGAAAAAAATCCTAATGAGGGAAAAAGAGTGCACCGAGTTCCCCCAATAATGAATCAAAAAAGGTGAGCTCTTGGTTTGAGGTGAGGAGCAATGTTGCCGTCGAGAGGTGCCCGTGAGTTGAGGGCCTTCTTCCTTGTTTAGCCGAAGGCTGCTTGTTGGTATCCCGGGGATGCCGAGAGGAGTCTTTCAGTTACCTGGACTGAGGGCGTGTTGACATGGGTGATTCCTCTGAAGGTGTCCGTAGTTGATTAGCATGATTAGGCATTCCGGGGACCGCCAAGGGTAGTCCCCCAGTCCAAGAGGCTGAGGGCTTGATCGTTGTTGATGAATGCCGGTGATCGTTCCTGTGTGCTGAGGGGTGCCCTGGTATTTTAGCCGGAGGCTAGCCACTGATGAGGGGGTCTGAAGGTGATGCCCCGGGGGGATTCCCTAGTTCTCAACATTTTGAGGGGTTTTTCCGTTGTTACCCCGGGGGCTCCCCTTGGTGAAGGAGTCTGAAGGCATGCATAGTATTGTCTGAGGGATGTCAGCTGAAGGCAGCGCTGCGTAGTGACCGCTTGAAGTATAGCCGTTGGGATATATGACCGTTGGAATATGACTGTTGGAGGTGATGTCCACGTGTCGTGTACCCGTTGGCTGGCTGCGGGCGGGCGTCACCGGTTGGGTGAAACGACGACATGTAATGATGACTTTTTTAACCGGAGGCCCGGTTTTCGGCCCAAGC